ACCAAAAACCAAACTCACTGCCATCAAGTCGATTTCGACCTATGACGACCTCTCCTTGGGTTTCCAAAACAGTATCTCTATAGAAGTAGATTGCCCATTAAATACATAATTTAAAAAATCTTTCAAAAAAGGTTAAAAATAATTGTGTTTAGCACAGTGGCTGGTACACTACCTAGTGTAACTTGTGTCTAGTCAACAGTTATTAATTACTATTTAAATCATCATATCCACCCTCAGGGAAACAGAGGCATGTCAGGGATGAAATCTTTTACTAATAAGTAGCAGAATCAGAATTTGAACCCAGATCTTCTACCTCTGAAACCCAGGCCATTTCCTCTACAATTCAGGGTTCATACCACAGCCACTCCCTTAGGGATATGCCAACCAATTATTGTTTCTTAGACAGGAAAACTATAAGAGATGAGGTTTTTGTCAAAACTCTTCCCCAAAAAAACATCCATTATGTAGGTGATCCTGGATAGAGTGGGAAAACAATGTGGAAGAAAACTCAAAATCATTTAAAAAAAAAAAAAAAAAAGGACCAGGTTTGCTGATCTGAGCCTGATGGAATCACTGAGACTATATCCCCTAGCTGCCCTTCAGGTCTAGAAGTGAATCCATTCCTGTGGCTTCCAGCCAAACAAAAGACAGGCATATGAGCTGAACATTTACCTTAGGTAGATACACTCCATGGAGAGATCAATCATGGGAGAATAGAAGGGCTGTGTATGCACAGGGAGACAGCTTGGGGGGCAGGGGTGCATGGGAGGGAAGGACACAGAGAAGAGGTAACTATGGGGAGGAAGTGGGAGGGGAGCTATTGCATTGTGGAAAATTGCAGTCAATGTCATGAGACAAAGTGTATTTAAGCTACTGTATGGAAAGTGAATTTGCTCTGTAAACTTTCACCCAAATCACAATAAATATTAAAAAAAAATCCTCAACTGGTTTCAGTTGCTGTTGAGTCAATTCTGACTCATGGTGACCCTATGTATTGCAGAGCAGCACTGAACTCCATAGGGTTTTCAAGGCTGTAACCTTTCAGAAGCAGATCTCCAGGCTTTTCTTCCAAGGTGCCTCTAGGTAGGTTTGTAACACCAACCTTTTGTTTAGTAGTTTAGCCCTTAAAACCATTTTAGCACTTAAAACCCCAGACATCAACAAATACTTGCCAACTAGCTTTCTCCACCACGGTATAGCAATGATTCTCATACTTTAGGGTACATTAGCATCACTTGTTTGTTTTATTTTAACAAATATAACATATTGCTAGGTCCCAATCCCAACCTGAGGATTTGCGTTCAAAACAAGTTCCCAGTTAATAAGTCACACTGTGAGAATGACTGATGTATGGTAATGACATCCTCCAACATTAGAAGCTGTCACACTCCACAGAAGAATAAGGAATCAAGACAGGATAAAGTTCTAAATCAGTGATTCTTGATGATAGCCCCCACCCACCTACTGATTCAGAAACCCTACAGTTGGGGCTCACCAATCTTGTGTTTTAATGGGCCTTCTAAGCAATTGTGATGTACTCTAAAGTCTGAGAACCACTGCTCTACAAATCAAAGCAGTTTGCAAAACCCAGCACTTTACCACAGGAGGAATGAAGCTACATGACATTTTTTCCACTTTTGAGAACCTGGGCTGTAGAGTCAGACAATGCTAAATTCCAGACTCAAAGTCACTAAACCACTATGGGTTCCAGAGGCTCATCAGCAAAATGGAATAGTTGCCTCCTTTGCTATAAACTTCTGAGGAAGTAACTTGTATTATATATCATAATCCCTAACAGGATTTCAAGAAAGGTATCCTATGGAAATCATCAGAAATACAAGTAGGCTTATCTAGGCATTTCTGGATTTATAATTTGTGAGTTTAACTATTGTGACCAACCATAAAAGGTCCACAATATTTAGTAATTTTTAATTGTGCTGAAGTACAAACTTGAATGAAGTACTGAGATGGTGTGTGTGTATGAGCACGTGCGCATGCACACACACACATGTGCACAGACGATGCACTGAGTAAGCAAGAACAGCCAAGGAAGTGATTCTCAGATGGCTTCCCTGTTCTCTGGTAGCTCACAGACAGAAGCATGAGAATCAATAAAAACTTGGTTTCTTTCATGGAAAAACATTAAGGCAGTGAATTTGTGGCATGGTGTGCAAAGAAACAAAGGACTCACCATAAAATGTTATTAAGTAGAGGCCTGGCCCATACACTCATTTCCATATTTAGAATTTGGAATTCTTAAAGGCCTTAGTGATGTTCTTTGTAAACATCAAGTATCTACTATTTAAAAATGTTCGCAATTTTTTCTTTTTTGCAGCACCCATATCAACATACAAAGTATTTCCAAAACTCCTAAAATTTCCCTTACATCACAGTATTACTTATAATAAGTTCAAAAAACCTAAGTGTCCAACCACAGAGGAAATGACCAAGTAACTGATAACACATACCTATGGTTTAATATCAGAAATCAGTTTTCTGATAAATAGTTAACAACCTGGTAAAATACACTGTAATATTAAGTGGGGGGCAAGGAGAGACAGGTTACAAAATGTTATTTATAACGTTGTTGTTGTTGTTATTTGCCGTCGAGTCGGCCCAGACTCATAGCGACCCCTCCTTGGGTTTTCAATCACTACGGAAGTAGGCTTGCCCAACCTTCCTTCCGAGGAGTGGCTGGTGGGTTTGAACTGCCAGCCTTCTGGTGAGCAGTCAAGTGCCTTAGGCACTATGCTACCAGAGCGCTCCTGTTATTTATAATAGCATCCCATTTTGTAAAAGAATATGTTTACATTCAAAGTACACAGGAGTTAATTAAACAAAAAATTTAACAGTGAATTGTGCTGGATAGTAGGCTCACAGGTGATTTTTATTTTCTTTATTCTTTTTCTGTATTTTCTACAACAAGAATGTCTCACCTACATAACCAGAAAAAAATTTAAAAATATTATTTAAAAAATAATACCTAATTTTCAAGCTTGGTTATGGATTGAGATAATTTATGCAAAGTCCTTGTCATAAGGTCTAGCACACAATAAACACTCACGAAGCATTCATTCCTGTTCCCTGTTCACAGACTATGGAATTAAGGTCTCTCTATTCTTAAGTCATCTGACTGCTAAGCAGAAGGTTGGTGGTTCAAATCACCAGCCACTCCACAGAAGGAAGCCTGGGCAATCTACTTCCATAAAGATTTTCTGCCTTGGAAACCCAAACAAACAGGGTAACTATGGGTCGGAATCAACTCAATGGCAGTGAGTTTCTATTTGTTTGTTTTTAGTATCATGGGTAGGACCCAATTCTCAGGTCTGAACTATACACTTTCCAAACAATCCAAAAAAAAAAGCCTTTTTCTTGAAGATTCATTCATTCATTCAAAAATGTACTCAGCATCTATTACATGTTTGGCACTGAACTAGGTTCCAGGGGATACAAAAATGAAAAGATGACATCTCTGCCCTCAGGAAGTACTGACTAATGAGTGACACAGACATATCTATGATCTGATAAAATAATGAATAAGGATAGAATATAAAGTGCAATAGAACACAGAAGGAGGCCTTTTACAATGGAAAGGTATTCTGTGAACTGTAAAAGAGGAAGACATTTGTGAGAATAGCATGGGAAAAGACACAAAGGCACAAGAGAATAAAGCAGCTCAGTCTTCCTAGAACATAAAGAGTAAAAGAGGAGGACTGGCACAAAATGAGAAAGAACCAGTAGATCACAAAAGGTCTCATCTATACAACAGAGAATGGATTTTATCCTGTAGGGGAACGACTAGAAGAATAATTTTAAGCATAGGAGTGACTTTATCAGCACTAGCAAAGATATTAAGAACCCTGAAAGACATCTTAATCCTCACCTATTTCCAGGGAAAAGGAAAAAGCCTCACCCTCTAGGTCTGTCCCCTCTTGAATGAAATAAGATGAGGCAGTAAATATAACGATGCACCTGGACCACAGTAAATACTCAATAAAGATCAATTAAATATGAATTTGATCCTCTTGAACTGCATGGGGTAGTCTCTGCTGAGAGAAGAATTTTAACAGCACCATCACCTTCAATTTGGTCTGGGGCTTGGTAATAGGAATGGCTCCTTTGGAAAGGACTAATGACAACTGAAAATTCTAGAATCTATCATGCAACAGGTGGAGGGCACCCTTACTGTTTTGTTGTACTACAATGTATAAACCCCTCTCATAGTTGTCTTTCCATATTTGGGGTGTAAATCCCAATAATGGAATAATATTAGTTTTATCTCATACACTAACCTCTCTGGAATCTTGAGTGACAGGTGCTTACATGCACACATGATTAACTGGAGGGAATTCATGAGTAGTTTTACTTCTGCTGTTTTACCCATCTCTCTTCTACTAATTCAATTTAACTGGATGGCTCTACAAACAAATGTTGTAGAAACAAAATACTACTGCATTTCTGCCTCCACTTACTGAGTGCATGCAAAATTAGGAAGCAGTTATCACATTTCACACATGAAGACAAAGGCTTAGAGGGGCAAAGCAACTTATCCAAGGTCACAATGATAGTAAGTTGCAATGCTCCCCCGCAAATCCCTGTGTGTTGCACTCAAATATCTTAAAAATGCAGTAAGATCTTCCCCAAAGACAGTGCCTGAGGCAAAACAAAATTGCCAAAACATAAAAACTGATTTTGTCTTTGCGGTTGGAAAGTAAGGGGATTATAAATTAAAAATATATCTATATACTATTAAAAATGCTGAAAAGAAGAAATACATTGGGGAAGAAAGAAAAAAGAAGGCAAAGCCCAATGTCAGCTGGGCCCTGGTCTCCAAAGAGAGATGGAAGATCCTGGGTCTATGAGGTGGGTTGGAGTTAATCCTCGGTGAGAGAGGGTAAAAAAGTTTGAGTGGGAACCCAAAACAAAAGGGTGAAGACAAAAAAAGCGAGCTATGAGCAACTGGCCACTGCACTGTGTACAGCTTAGATTGCCCTCCTTACCTGCCATGAAACCAGTCCTGGCACATGTCACACTCGATCATGAAGCGGGTCACATCGTAAGGCAGCCGGCAGAGGCAATACACTGGCACAGAGGCCATCTTCCCCTGGCCTTGGAGCGTTCTGTGATGGGCCAGGTTCGTGGTGTCAAGAAATGTGGAAGGTGATGGCACACGTCCTTTCTGGACGATGGCTGGGCACAAACAACACTTTTTTATAGAGTGAATCAGGTCCCCCCGGGGTACCAAGCCTGAGTTCAAAAACCGGGAATTACTACTGCCAGGATGCAACACAGCTAGATCGGCTGTAGGGGGCAACAGGAGAAAATCGGCCTTCAAAATTTCTTTAACAAATAAAGGACAGCGCTCCCTGGGCCATCGAGGCTCCCCTCCCCCCGCCCGCCCCTTCTTTGGCCCCTCCAGTCACTGATAAGTTCTTTCCGGGTTTCAGGTAAATTCTGAAGCCTTTTTCGGGAAGCTTCTTTAATCGGTCACTGAACCTTCTTGCTCGCTTCCTTGCTTCCCAGGGCTCCCTTTATTATGACGCCAACCATAGCCTTAAGAATTAAGCTAGGGGTACTAAAGGACAAAAAAGTCAATCACTCCTTCCACGACCAGTCAGGAGTCTCGTCATCCCCAAAAAACTGAAATAAATCTCCATTTTAAAACTGATCAGACCGTCCTCTACTTCAAAGGTGACAAGGTTCTCGTCGCACCCTCACTTCGAAACCCCAGGAACTAACTAGAATTTCTTCACACTCTTGAAACTAAACAAGGATTTTTTTTTTCACCGCTCAGAAACTGGTAGGAATCGCCTTACCATCCTCCCAAACTAAAAAGGACTCCCCAGTACCCCAAAACTGACACAGATTTCATCATAAATCTTTAAGCTGACAGGATCTCCTTACAGCCCCCAAAACTTACGAGAATGTATCTTCACGCCTCCCAGACTGACAGGAACCAACTCACGCCCCAAACCTGACAACAATGTCTCCGATCCCGAACCCTACAGGAATCTCCTCATCTCCAACGCTACAGGGTCTCCTCACGCCCGCTCCAACCGACACGCCGGCGGCCGGGCTAGCTTCGGCGCCTAGCTTACTGGAGGCTCAGCCAGCAGTTCCGGCCCCACCGGCGGCGCGCGCCGAATTCTGGGATAGTCACAGTGAGGCCGCGAACCTTGCTTGCCTGGCCTTGAAACCACCCGCTGGGTCGCACCGCCCAGGCCGCTCGGCGGTGCTTTAAGGCAGCGCTCTCCCGGCCCGTCCGTTAAGGCCTACTGGAGACCGCGGCCCGGCCTAGTCCGGCGGCGCCCCGGGAACAGGCAAGTGGCGTTGTTGCTGGGTTAGCAGGAGACAGCCATGAGCAAACCAACGAGGAATCAGGTGTATCGGCGGCCAAATTTGAGAAAAATGACTCGAAGAGTCGCCGGAAGAAGCCCAGTAGCGGTGGTGGTTAAATCGTAGTAGTCAATAAAGTTTATTCAAAACAATGAGGAAGTTGAGGCGGAGATGGGAGGAGAAAAATGGTGTAAACAGCTACCATATTGAGAGTGGCGCGGCTGTCGCGGAGGAGTCGAGCCCAACCGCCATCTTAGGAGGGCCAGGCACTCGACGTAATCACGCATAGGCAAGGAACAGAAGAGCTGCGATCTCCCTTGTGATATCATCGGGGGCGGAGCGCCACCTTGAGAAAGGGGGCGGGGCTTATCCGCCTTCGCACCAACGTGATGCCTTAAGGCATCCAATCAAAGCTAAAGACCTTGAACAGAGAGGCAGCCATCTTACGCGAGGCAGGCTCTTGGCTCCATTTTGAGCGGTGCCAGAAACTTCCTAGCCTTCTTCCTTCTCTGGGCAAACCTGGAGTTAAGCACCCGCCGTCACTCGTCCTTCCCAGCCTTTTCCTCCTATGAGAGGACGTAAACTCTTTGACTTCAAAGGGTAAAGTTAATAGATGGTGGAGGCGGGCTTCAGGCAGGGTAGAGACTGAGTACTCCCAGGGGGTCCCATTCATTCAATGAACACCTCAGCAGACCCTTTCGCGTGATTTCCGTGTCGTTTATTCTCTGCCCTAGAAAGGAAGTTCTGTTACTATCCTCATTTGCTAAATAAGGGCACAGGTTTAGAGAAGCCAAGTGACTTGAACTTAAGAGCCAGGAAGTTAAGTCTTGTGCCCATTACTACTCCAGTGTCCTTGGTCCTCACTTGGAGTTCCTCTATAAAGCTTCTGTCAGCTTCCCAGATGCTTCAGCACCGTTTCTTTTTTGACGCTACTGTTTCACTACAATTCAGTTCAAATACAATTCAGGCATTTCCATGTACCTGCTCCCCTGTTTTCTGACTACAATCTCAGGGTGAGATGGGAAAAGAGGTTGAGTGAGTGAGTTCCACATACATGCTTAAAAAGTCACTGTTTTACTCAAACATTCTAGAAAATTCTCAGTTCTCATCTCACTTTCTTAAAGGGTCCTACCACTTTTTAAAAAAATATGTGTGTGCACACCAATTCCTAATCAGCAACAATTGGTTACGCCCCGAGGATACAATGATGGAAAGGGGGGCTCTGCCATGGAAAAAAGAGGTATGGTGGTGTCGTGGTTGAAGCATTCGGCTGCTAACCACAACAACCACTCCTCCAAACAAAGATGCTTCAGTAAAGATTTACAGTCTTGGAAACCCTTTGGGCAGTTCTACTCCATTCTACAGAGTCTCTTTGAGTAGAAATCAACTCAAAGGCAGTGACTGGGTGGGCCATGGGAAATCACCAGGCAGTGCAGGAGACAAGCTTGCAAGTAAATTGGAATGCAACATCCAGAAAGTACAAATACCTTACAAAATGAAGCTAAGAAATAACCCTAGAAGCTCTTGCTGCTCTCAAGACTTCAGGGAGGCTTAGAGGATACATAAAATTTCACTAAATAAGGCATTTGACTGCTAACTAGAAGGCTGGCGGTTCAAACCCATCAGCCACTCCTTGGAAGGAAGATTGGGTGATCTACTTCTGTAGAGATACTGCCTCGGAAAACCCAAGGAGGGGTCACTTTGAGTTGGATCCAACTGGATGGCAGTGAGTTAGTAAATCAGCAAGCAAGAACATTGTACATAAAAAGATCAACATGTAGAAATGCATGGAGGCACATGGGAGAACATTTGCTAAAAGAAGTTCAATATTGTTGAAACAAAGAGGAAGGAAAAAAAGATAGGAGGTCAAACAGACGGTCAGGTTATAAAAGACTGTAAAATGCAAAAGGATTTATATATTATCCTATAATCTGTAAGAAACCATTAAAAGTTTTTGAGCAAGAGTAACTGAC